ATATATATATATATATATATATATATATATATATATATATATATATATAAGTTGACAGTGAAGTTAATGTTGAATGGCTACATTTTTTTCCTGCATGAACACAATGATTTTTGTCCTTGAATATTGTGTTAACTCAAGAAACACTGTCGCCTTTGGGTGTTGCCTTCAATGTCCACTTTTATATTTATATATGCTCTATCGCTGATATTGATCCCTTTAAACAATAAATATAGTATAACTTCAAACTATATTTTATCATATATATATATATGTGTGCGTGTGTGATGGTGATGGACTCTCTCGTGGCGGACGACAAATGAGTGGTCAGTAAAATAAAGAGACGCTCAACTTCTATCCTGAGGCTTGCTAACTTTTAAACACATGGAACAAGTAGACTATTTCGCTCTAGTAATTTAGGATCAGTTGACATGTTTCCGTGATTAGACTTTACCACTTGTTATTAATTCCGCTGTTTAATAAAACATACACACACACACACAACTTTATATATATATATATATATATATATATATATAATAGATGGTCACTCGTATTCGAGGATACGCGTCTCCTTGGGCGGCTAGCCAATCCCTAATTCAGACGCTCACTCAGGCACATTTGTGTTTGTTCAGCACCAATAGAGCCCACCTGTGGTTTATACAACAACTATGCTGAGCAGACTTCAGTTACGGTTTCTGGGAGAGAGAGAGCGTGTTATCTAACGTGATCAACAATCTGAACAAGGCCAGCACACTCAAACCCTCGTTTACGATGACTTGTTACTTCGTGCAAGCAAGTGTTCAGTCTACCCAATTTCACTCACAAGGCTTGAGTCAACTCGGGGCATGGTTTTCAGGCACTTTCCAAAGGTACCGCAGGCTGGGATCGTCCCCCCAAGCCGATAATTCATATATATATATATATATTATGTTTAAATGAAAATGTCCATGAAGATGGTCTTAAATAGACCGAAACGTCCGAAGTCGACTTTATATTAACATTAATACAGCATAATTGCATATTAAGATTTTTGTTTGTTTTTTTCTGTTTTTTTCTTCATACTGTCGGATCTATATCCATATATTTGCTTACATACTGTCTACTGAAATACAAACCTAAATTTTTTTATAACATGGAAGATTCAAGCTTGTACGAAAATATAAGAATCTATTGATCAAGTAAGGAAAGGATTTATTATCGAACTGTTTTTTAGAACTGTTCCATCGTTTTTTAAATCATTTTTGATTTGCTTTGTAACGTGAAGGACTTCAAGCTTGTATGAAGCTATAAGAACCTATTGATCTCTACGTATTCCTATATCAACAGAAGGGATTTCTTGAACTGTTTATATAAAATAGTTCAATCGACTTTTTTAATATTTGGAAATCATCTTCGAATACGTTTTCATAACATCGCCCACGTGACGACGACGTGATCATATTTAAACGGAACGCTGATCTTATATAAAAATTTCAGTTATCTGTTTGGATTAGTTGTGCTCTTATGTCCATCGTCTTTTGTGTTAAATTTTTATATGTTCTAATGTTAATTACGTTTAAATGAAAATGTCCTGAAGATGGTCTTAAATAGACCGAAACGTCCGACGTCGACTTTATATTAACATTAATACAGCATAATTGCATATTAAGATTTTTGTTTGTTTTTTTGTATTTTTATTCATATATATATATATATATATATATATATATATATATATATATATATATATATATATATATATAGTAAAGGTAAAAAAAATTCAAATTTCGATAATATAGTTTTGCTTAATTAGCTACCCAAAATCTCTCCACGACTCTCATACCCTTTAACTTTTCAAATGTTCAATCAAGAACCAATTCTAATTTCCATAGTGGAATTTTGCCTACGTCTGGTATCTTTTAAGGTATGCTAGTGAGCATACCTTAAATCTATATTTATATTACATACAAATTTCTAAGCAATCGATAGATTCTTTATCTGGCATTTTTCTAACTCCTCTGTGACCGAGCGGCCTAAAGCACGTCGTATAAGACAGTGGTTTCTCCTACAAAGAGGAACAATATCAAAGCGCATATTTTCTTTATTAAATCTCTATAATGCTACTGTTAGTCAACCTAATTAATTCTGTTAAAAAAAAGGCAGGGCATCTACTCGAACTTGGGTAGCCATAAAATAACGTTTGCTGTAGGAGCGGAAGGGCGTAACCGGTTGTTTTGCCTGCTTTTAATATGTCTGGTAATATCAAGCTTCACACTTTTAGTTCTGTAATTAAATTTTGTACCTACAAAAATATCTTTAAATATAGAGTAAAGGTAATAGATCCATTGGTATATAATCAAAGTGGATCGAAAATTACCTCATATGGGGGATAAATCTATTTTAACCGGTGGTAACTTCGTCAGTCTTATTCAATATATATATATATATATATATATATATATATATATATATATATATATATATAATGTGTGTGTAGATATTAGATATGTAGAAAATAGGAAAGAACACGTTTTTAAATAATCCGGGAGTTCTTTTATTTTTTATTTTAAAAAAAGAATTATGATTCCATACACAAGTAGAGCTTAAATTATAATTATTTAAAAAAAAATATAATTCCTTCGCTACATAGAAGTTCTCATGTTTCAAAAACGATAGCCGAAACCTCAATATAATTATTAAAATTAAATTTAATTAAAGTATTCTGCCCTGTTTCATCCTCAAGCTTCCTAAATATTGCTTAAGGATGAAACAGGGCTTGATTTAATTGAGGTTTTGAGGATCTTGTTTTTTGAAACAATTTTATTATGTAGCGAAGGAATCAAATTTTTTACAAAATAATTATAATTTGAGCTCTACTTCTCTATGGAGCACTGTTTTTTAAAAATAAAAATACTAAAGAACTCCGGATTATTTACTCTATAATTATTATCAAGCCCTGTTTCATCCTTAAGCGAAAATTTAGGAAGCTTGAGGATGAAACAGGGCTTGATAATTTAATTCAATTTAATTTTAATAATTATATTGAGGTTTCGGCTTTCGTTTTTGAAACATGAGAACTCTTATGTAGCGAAGGAATCATTTTTTTTTTTTTTAAATAATTATAATTTAAGCTCTACTTCTGTATGGAGCAATCTTTTCTTTTTTAAATAAAAATACTAAAGAACACAGGATTATTTACCTAACGTGTTCTTTCCTATTTTTCTACATATCTATATATATATACACACATACATATATATATATATATATATATATATATATATATATATATATATATGCTCAAATCACTTGAACTTTAAAAGTGTCGAAACAAAGATTCAAATGTTTAAAAACTTCTTTGAGATAACGTTTGCTTGCAAGCGAAACCCGACAAAGCATGAATCAGAAGTTTATCGTTTCAAGACCAAAGTGGCAAATAAAATCAAAGCGCGAACAGGGTGGTGAGTTTTAAATGGATGCCACCTGTTGCCCTTGTTTCAAACTTAGTTGCTTTTAGAGTTCAGTTAGCGAAGAGGTTTTTGTTTTTTCCACGGTTGTGTTTTCAAACAAGCCGTGCCATCAATATCATCGGAATAGTTCTTCATAGATTCGGGTCGTTAAGCAGAGACCGTAGGTATTCGGACGGAAAAATCACGAAAAATGACACTAGATAAAAAAAAAAGATCCAATTTGTTTGTAAAGATTATTTTGGTTGTCACAATCTTTGTAATATGACGAAGAAAAAAAGATTGGAAACATTTGAAAGCAAATTCTTTTGTAATATTCCACCGAACCAGAAATATTTGTGGTTGATAAGTTGTTTACATTATTTTTGTTTCATGCCTTTTTTAACATTTCTGAAATTATCTAATGAATGTCGAAATTTATTAATCGCATTATTTCCCTTCTGTTAATGATTATTAACAAGCTGGCTTTGCTGTAATAGGCGTGCTTGGAAAGAAAGAATATTTCCAGTTCCCATCATAGGCATTAATAATACCGTGATATACTAATACGTTAATACAACGGATGGAAAGACTAGAATAGCTGAAAGAAAGGAATAACGAATATGCATTGTGCTCAAAGAGATTTTTAAAAAAGGTCCTCGTACGAGATATTATATACAAATATGTATTTTCCTGTCGCTATTTGTCCAACACGGATGAAGAGTACCATGTCCAATACGGATGAACTATAACATGTGGATACAACAAGCAGCGTGAATGAGAGAAAATCGAAAGATTATTTGTAAAATTTTCCTAAGGAAAAATGGACAGTTTGGTTTCCTCTGTTCATTCTAGCGCTACGGGATTATCAGGTCTATCTTCCTAATGGTCTGCATCCTAACTGGGTTTTGTCATGAGATCCTCGTGAATCCCTCTTACCCAAAGGGAAATAATCGCCCTTTGTATCTTTACAGTACCCCATCCCTGAACAAGTTCTATAACCTGCCGCAAGGAGTAAATTTTATTCTACTCGTTGTGATCTGATGAAATAAAAAGGTGGGCACATAATTTGTGAAACTATACTATATAAACAGAACATGCATGCAAAAGACAGTTTGGTTTTATTTGGTCAACCGCAATGGGTTATTTAATGCCGACAAGATTTTTATTGCTAGTAAATTTTTTTTTTTAAATGTATGGAAGGAGAAATACTGCCTGGGTTGATGGCTCTTGGGGCTTGAGTTAATATTAATTTAAAACTGTTCCAGCTGAAGCTACAGAAGTAGGGTGGTTCTTTTTTTTTTTTCTTAGCGTAGCGTAGATTTAGTACAAGACAGAGTGGAGCACCAAGTGAGGATCGAACTCACTACTCAGTTGTAATTGATCTAGCAAGACAAGCTTGTTAATCATTACACTGCATCGGAGTGCTCTAAAAATGAACTAATATGCCCAGTAAAATATTTACTAAATAAAAATCTATACATAAACGTGAGAAAGTCTAGGTTAATCCACTTGTAGCTTTGGCTACAATAAAAATATTTTAATAATGTAGACAAGTATGAAATATCTTAAAATATGGGCCTGTCACTGGGCCGCCGACTTGGCGAGCCGTCCTGTCCGCGTCACTTGGCCGCTTGGTCCTGCGAGATGATCGATCCTGCTAGCAGTAAGGTCTAATCTATGACCATTTAAATAGCTACTGTGCAACATTACGCAGAGGACTTTTGTTGCACTTTCATGAAAATAGCAACTAATAAGATGACGAGCGATCGGGGAAAAATAATGAGTTTAAGGATTAGATTTGATCTTCAAGTTTTGACGGCTAAATTTACTAAACGGAGTAAAACTTAGTGGATGTTCGAGTCTTGCTTGGAACTTATTCTAGATTGGCGATCGGTGCTATTTACCTGATGGCCACAAATTGACGGCTTGGGTAAAATTGCGACTAAATTTAATTAAAAAATTCGAATAACAAAATACTAAAAGGAAATAGTATTGAAGCAAAGTTAGTACTGGTTACCGTAGCTCTTTCGAAATTATTCGTAAAATGAAATTAAAAATACTATTGTAAAGTTGAAAAGTTTTCAAACCGACATAATTCAACAAATTCTAAAAAATATTTTTTTAAATTTATTTAACTAGTTTTTTGTTTACCCTCCGCAAACGCGAATATTTGGTTGATTTTGTTTAGCGGCAGACCATCCTCGATGGGTTATTTAAGGCTGAAACCTAAATATTTGAACGCAACTGTATGCCTTCAACTACAAATACAGTCTTCTTTGCCATTCTACTATAAATAAGTTGGTAACCATATAAAAATGTATTGCATGTATTTTTATACTTCCAAAGTGATTTTTTTTTTTTTTTTGTGGGTGGGGAGAGTTTACTATTTGCCCAGGACTGGGACCCTAACAGATGCTACCACCCCGGATCAGGGAAGACCTGAGAATAACAGCAATTAAGAGGTGGTACCAGGCTCCTTAAAACCTTCAATCTCCCGAACAGAAGTCTTGCTGTTGGGTGTATTTTATAGTCATACGAATATTTGATTTCAACCCTTTCCCAATGACAGATCCAAACGTGTCCACCGTAACCATAATGAAATGTCCCACATTTATAATATTCACACCATGGAATTTACATACATTCGAAAATGTTTTGGGGTGGTGGGATTAACAGTATAATAACATATATATTAAGCGATTTGGGCACCTCGACGTGGTGTAATAGTAATAAAGCTTGTCTCGCTAGATCAATTACGACTGAGTAGTGAGTTCGATCCTCACTGGGTGCACCCATACTTTCGGCCTTGTGCCACATCTAAACTACGCTTGGAAAATCACTTTGGGTACCTCGAGCGGTGTAATGGTTAGCCAGCTTGTCTTGATAGATCAATTACGACTGAGTAGTGAGTTCGATCCTCACTGGATTCTCCCATACTTTCGGCCTTGTGTCACATGTAAGCCGGGCTTAGAAAATGAATATACATTAAGCGATTTTTCGTTGAGTTATTCAACATTACCTCGTATTTTCTTTAAAAAGCGATTTAAAAATTTAACAAATAATGAATTTTGACTCGTATTTGTTTTCATCTCAATTTTTCTCAGGCCGTCACTCTACGGCAGTGAGTAAACTGTTCAGATAACGACATAGTCTATGCTTTCGATGAGATTCGAACTCGCGTCATTTTTTTTCTTTGAGAAGTCTCGGTGAGCGCTTTGGTGGCTCTAATGGACTGAGCTATTAATGTTCAATGGCTTACAAAATTGCAGTACGTTTTGAAAGACCTAGTTCAGCACTGTCCATTTTAAACATATTCACTCTCCACCCTCCGCCACCTTTTAACTAAGTCAATTCTTAACCGAAGTGTCCGCCATATGGATGAAGAGATAAAGCAGTTTACTTGAAAGTCTTCTTAGATAATCAGAATATATTTGAAAACTGATACTAACAAAATCAATAACATCGAAAAGAAAATAATAACAAAGTATTCTTCTATCATCAACACTCCAAGGCCACAGTCTGTGATCAATGAAATCCGAGGAGAAGGAAGATTATGTTGGTAGTTGTTGATAATGTCAGATTCTTTTAAAATTAAACAAATATAGAACGTTATGTATCAAATAACCACGGTTAAAATTTGGTCAATGGTGAGTCAACAATTTCAAGGCTTGCTATGAAAGGCCTTTACAAAACTGTCAATGGCTACGCTTTAAGGCATGAAACGGGTGTTCGTTTGGTAAAAGAGCAACACTTATGTGTCTGTCTTATTTGTTTCACCCCAAGCAAGGCGTTAAAATCACTAAGCTGCAAGTTGTTAGTGAGAATGAAAGGACAATAAGAGTAGGCTTCCAGAATACAGCAGATGACGATTGACATTGAATTAAACATTTTGAAGGACGTAGCTGACAGGAAACCAAGAAGCCTGAAGTGAGTTCCAACTGCGAGAGAAGAAACTATTAGAATAGAAATTTAAGGTTATATCTTAGCAATTTTAACAGTAGATTGACGAGACCTAACTGCCAGTGTAGTACTACGTAAAATTCATGAAGTCAACGTACCAAAACGGAAAGTAAACCAAAACAGTTATCATGGAAATATTTATAGAAAAGACACAAAGAAGCTACGTTACGAAACGTTGTGATAAATATGGCGACAAAGATAGTGACAATAGTCAGACTAATGTAAATAGTGTACATAATACCTCATCTCAGAAATATAGACAGATACTGAAGGGTCGAAACGTTGGAATAAATATGGCGACAAAGGTGAGGACAATAGTCTGAATAATGTAAATAGTGTACATAATACCTCATCTCAGAAATAGAGACTGATACTGAAGGGCTGAAACGTTGTAATAAATATGGCGACAAAGGTGAGGACAATAGTCTGAATTATGTAAATAGTGTGTACGCCATCTCAGAAATATAGTGAAGCGTGGTTGCTAAATAAGTCCTGGACAATAGTCTGGATTAGCCACTGCTGTAGCGTGGTGAATGTAACGATCAAGAGTAGAATTCGAACTCGACTCTCCGATTCCTCAATCCGAGCCTTTATCCATTACTCGACCGTGCTTCTACAGTGTGAACATTTTAAAAAAAAAAAATTAAAAAACGAAAATTAAAGATAGATATAGACTGGCGCTACTATGTAAAATGTTCTTTTACGTACGTGTCCTTCAGGACGTTAGCGATCATGGTTCTCCACACTTTCCTGTCACTTGTAGCTCTTAGTAGATTTTGTCTTTTTGCCATCTCTCCAAAACTCCAGTACTCTTTTCTTTGTTTCTAACGATATTTTTTCTGTTTCTTACTATATTACTTAGGTTTTCGAAGGCATCTTTCGTTATCCCAATGCGCTACGGATTTCCGTGTCGCACTTTCCCTCCTCTGTTAATACGCTTCTCAGATATCATAATTGTTACATCTGTCTGGTTTCAGTGTCTCCAATCTGTAATTTGTATGTTGAGGCTGTTTCTTTTGCTAACAGCAATGGATTCTGCCTTCTTGCAATTAATGTTTTGTCATTTATTTTAATTTTCCTTCACTACTTTCTCTAAAAGTTCTTGTAGATTCTTTTCTGTGTTACAAAAGAGAATGGTTCTATCACGCAAAAGTGCCAAAGAAATGGATCTTATTATTTCTGCAAAGACTTCTTTATTTTATTCTTTATTAAACCGCCATAGAAGCGACTCTTGAATTTGCTGCGATACAGTCATTTCTCAAGAATGTCATTTGTGTATTTATGTCTTACAGTTTGGTGTTTTTCTGATGGTACCATTCTTTTTTTTTTTTCTTTTCCTTTCTCTTCTACTATTTTGATGTTCCTTGTCAATGTCCCTCTTTTTTTTTCTCTTTTGAAAGGGTTTTCTCATTGACCCCCCCAACCTTGCTTTCGAATTGGCGCCCCCCCTTCTCATCTTCGTCGCCTGTTTTATGCACTCTTTCGACCTCGCGTATTTACTGCATTTCAATCTTTTTTCATTCTTTCTTCAATATTTTCTTGGCTTTGTTTTGCTTACTTCGCAAATCAAAAGCATTTCAGCTTTTCATCTTTTTTTTTTTCTATTCGTTCACCTATTCCTTTTTCATTCTCATTTTTTATTCTCCCTCTCTATGCTCCTTCTTCTTTTGTTTTTATTCTTCCACTCCCTCTCCTCCTTTTATTCTTCCACTCCCTCTCCTCCTTTTATTCTTCCACTCCCTCTCCTCCTTTTATTCTTCCACTCCCTCTCCTCCTTTTATTCTTCCACTCCCTCTCCTCCTTTTATTCTTCCTCCCTCTCCTCCTTTTTTTTCTTTCCCTCCCTCTCCTCCTTTTATTCTTCCCTCCCTCTCCTTTTTTATTCTTCCCTCCCTCTCCTCCTTTTTTTCTTCTTCTTCCCTTCTCCTCCTTTTGAATTTTGTCCTCTCTCTTTTTTATTCTCGTTTTTCTCTCCTCTATTTTTGTTCTCTCCTCCTTTTATTCTTCTCTCTCTCTCCTTTTTATTCTTCCTCTCTCTCTCTGTTGTTTTCTTTCCTCTCTCTCTCTCTTTTTTAGTTCCCTCTCCTCTCTCTTTTTATTCTTCTCCTTTTTATTCTCCTTCTCTTTTTTATTAATTCTTCTATATCTCTTTCTATTCTTTATTCCTTTTGTCTCTCTCTCTTTTTTCTTCTTTGTTCTTTTGTTTCTCTCTCTTTTTCTTCTGCTCTCTCTCTCTCTCTCTCTCTGTTTTGTTCGCTCTCTCTCTCTCTCTCTGTTTTGTTCTCTCTCTCTCTCTCTCTCTTTTGTTTCTCTCTCTCTCTCTCTCTTTTCTCTCTCTCTCTCTCTGTTTTGTTCTCTCTCTCTCTGTTTTGTTCTTCTCTCTCTCTGTTCATTTCTCTCTCTCTCTCTCTCTGTTTTGTTAATTTCTCTCTCTCTCTCTCTTTTTTCGCTCTCTCTCTCTCTCTCTCTCTTTTCTCTCTCTCTCTCTCTCTCTCTGTTTTGTTCGCTCTCTCTCTCTCTCTCTCTCTTTTGTTCTCTTCTCTCTCTCTTTTTCGCTCTCTCTCTCTTCTTCTCTCTCTCTCTTGTTCTCTCTCTCTCTTCTTGTTCGCTCTCTAAAAAATCAAATTCTTTCTGTTCTCTCTCTTGTTTTCTCTCTCTCTCTCTTTTTCTCTCTCTCTCTCTTTCTCTTTTCTCTCTCTCTTTTTTTCTCTCTCTTTTGTTTTTAATCTCTCTCTTTTTTTTCTTCTTTTATTTTCTCTTTTGTTTTTCTCTCTCTCTTTTTTTTTTCTCTCTTTTGTTTTTTCTCTCTTTTTTTTTTTCTCTCTCTTTTTTTTTCTCTCTCTTTTGTTTTTCTCTCTTTTTGTTTTCTCTCTTTTTTTTTTTTCTCTCTTTTTTTTTTTTTTCTTTCTTTTTTCTCTCTCTTTGTTTTTTTTTTCTCTCTTTTTTTTTTTCTCTCTCTCTCTTTCTCTCTTTTTTTTTCTCTCTCTCTCTCTCTTTTGTTTTCTCTCTCTCTCTCTTTTGTTCTCCTTCTCCTAATCTCCCTCTCCATTTTTATTCTCCATCTCTCTTTTTCTTTTCCCTTTCTGTTTCCTACAGAAAGAATTAAGACGGAGATGGAGTAGTTTTCCTACTGCATCTCCATTTTCGTCTTAATTTTTACCGCTCCTCTTACTCTTTTATTTCTTTGCATCCCCCTTTATTTTTTCTTTGACTTCTTTTTCTCCTACTCCATTATTTTCTCTCGTTCTTAATTTTCTTTTTTTATTTTCTATTCCTCTCACTCCACAGGCTTCTTTACTTTCTTTTCTATATTGTTTTCCCCTCTCTCTTCATTTTTCTCTTTCTGTTCGTCTCATTCTTTATTATATCTGTTCTTTTTTTTTCCTTACCCTCTCCCCCTCCTTATCCTTATTTATTATTCTCTCTTTTTATCTTCGTTTTCTTTTCTCCTTCCCCCTATTCCTGCTTGTCTTTTCTTTCTATTTCTTATCTGCCTCTCTCCATCCTTTCAACCCCACACGACAACTACAATGAATAGCTTTTTCTTTCATTTCCAGTTTCTCTTCATTTTCGTGAGACATTTTCCTTTACTTCTGTCTCCCGCTATTTTGATGGCAACTTAACCCAATAAAAGTCCCCAGCCGAGAAAAGCCTTAAAATTTTCGACAAAGACACAAAAACAAATTCACTCTCTCAAGGCAGTGAATGCATCTAGGCACTGGGCGTAGGCGGAACTCCAAGACTAACTCTTCGTGTTTTTTTACAGCAGCTTTGAAAGCAAGAGAAAACCTGTAAAAACTAGCACCCAAATATGCTTCTGCAGTATCAGATAACTGTTACACACACACACACACACACACACACACACACACACATGATGAAGATGGTCTAAAATAGACCGAAACGTCCGACGTTGACATTATATTAACATTAATAATACAGGATAATTACATATTAAGATTTTTGTTTGTTTTTTCTTTATATTTTCTTCATACTGTCGGATCTATATCCATATATTTGCTTACATACTGTTTACTGGAAATACAAACCTGAATTTACTTTATAACATGGAAGACTTCAAGCTTGTACGAAAATATAAGAATCTATTGATCTCCGCGTATTCCTGTAAGAAAGGAAAAGATTTTTTAACGAACTGTTTATATGAGAAAATAGTTCAATCGAGCTTATTTAATATTTTGAAATCATTTTTGATTTACTTTATAACATGGAAGACTTCAAGCTTGTATGAAAATATAAGAACCTATTGATCTCTGTGTATTCCTATAAGAACGGAAAGGATTTTTTAATGAACTGTTTATATGAGAAAATAGTTCAATCGAGCTTATTTAATATTTTAAAATCATCTTCGAATATGTTTTCATAACATCGCCCACGTGACGACGACGTGATCATATTTAAACAGAACGCTGATCTTATATAAAAATTTAATTTATCTGTTTGGATTAATTGTGCTCTTATGTCCATCGTCTTTTTCATGTTGAGTTTGAATATGTTCTAATGTTAATTATGTTTTATGAATATGTCCTGATGATGGTCTAAAATAGACCGAAACATCCGACGTTGACATTATATTAACATTAATACAGCATAATTGCATATTAAGATTTTTGTTTGTTTTTTTCTAATTTTTTTTTATATCATATATATATATATATATATATATATATATATATATATATATATATATATATATATATAATATAAATAAAAAAAGTATGGCAATTATTTTAAGACATTTTTATTTTATACATTCTTTTTATAGATACAAATATTTAAGCAAATACTCTGTTTATAATAAACAGTATTAAACAACATATACCGGCCTGAATGTCCGAGAAATTTTCATAGAAAATATTCGTCCTCCGACAGGAATCGAACCTGTATCCTATACAGAACCGTCATATAGCCTGTTATTAATACTTTGTCCATTTCATAATGTGTGACGTCATTTGTTTACATTTGGATACGCTTTGAGCAGATATGAATGTACGCCAGAGATTCATGGAAGATTGTAGTTTAAAAGCAGTAAAATCGACCTTGCTAACCGAACGATCCTCTGTGGCTCAATCGGTTGAGGCACGTCAGGCTTTTATGACGGTTCCGTATAGGATACAGGTTCGTTTCCTGTCGGAGGACGAATATTTTCTATGAAAATTTCTCGGACATTCAGGCCGGTAAATGTTGTTTAATACTGTTTATTATAAACAGAGCATTTACTTAAATATTCGTATCTATAAAAAGAATGTATAAAAATGCCTTAAAATTATATATATATATATATATATATATATATATATATATATATATATATATATATATATATATATACACACACACACACACGGTGTCAGCTAGTATATTTTTTCTTCAACATATTTTTGCGTTGTTGACAAAACCTCGAATAACAGAGTTTACGAAATTATCGTTTTAATCATGTGTGCGTGACGAATCGAAGAATATTTATCTGACATTATTTCCTATTATTCCAAATTTTATTTTGTGGATACCCGTGTTTCAGTAGACGCCCTGATTTTATTTTAAACCGTGTAAATTATGCCTACCGGCTTGGGCATTCAAAAGACTTATGAAGAAAATTGCGGAGGCCGGAAGACTGATTAACACTGTTAAAAATATTGCATACAAAAAAATAAATTAAACGAATACAAGGCGTCTACTCAAATATGGGTAACTACAAAATAACGTTTGGTGTAGTATGAAGTACATAGTTAGCATTATTATTATCATTATCGTCTTTAGGTATGCTCCAACAATTATCACTTTTCAAACTCCAAAAATATTTACAAATAATAATTAATGATAATAAAATAATTCTAATTGTTGCTTCTTCGCTTAGTTTAAGTTTAATGTAAGTCATATTTGATTGATTGATCAGAGTAAAGCCCATACACCTTATAACCACCATCTGTTTTTTTGTAAAAAGAGGTTCTATTTTGCTTTTAAATTTAAATAAATCGTTTACTCACCAGTAATTTATAATCTCCTGATGAGATGAATTGATACGCATCGAAACACGACTGCAATTTTGTAGTGATTTTGATGTTTTCGGTGTAATATCCTTATATATATATATATATATATATATATATATGCCTTATTTTTAATTTATTTTGTTTAAACATTATTTTTAATGGATACTCATATTCGGGTAGAAGCTCTGCTTTACTTTAATTAAACAGAATTTTTTTATCCAACTACATCTACCGGTGTTGAATATTCGAGAAATCTTGTCAGAAAAATATGCGTCCTCTGGCAGGATTCGAACTATGGGGAACCGTCATTGTATTTGATGAGTATACATAAAAAAATAACAATATGTCGGATTTAATCCATTTCCTAAAATGTATGAAACAAACATTGTTTAGTGGGCACACGTGTTTGAATTAACGTCGCTGTTAAAATAACAATGAAATTAATTTCAACAGGCCCAGAGACCTAGAAATTTTAACCCTAGAACACTCACCATCAATTAAAGTTACACCACTACTAACGATGAGTTTGTCATACCCGATTTTGAAAATCAAAAATAAATAAATAAATATAAATCTTTATTTGAAATATTTTACATGCAGGCACTTCAAATATTGTAATTTGAGTTAACATTAATAGGAACTGAAAAACATTATTTAGGTAAGAAAATCAGGTACTGAATTTTGTAATTAAAAATAGGAAAATTTGCGTTAGGTACTATATACCCATGGTTAGTGTTCTAGGGTTAATAAAGAAAATGTGCTTCAGGTAAGGAATCGAACCTGTATTCCATTATTATATATATATATGTATATATATATAAAGAAATATGCGTAATATCTTACATTAATTTCACAACTTAGTTTCATGCCGAAGCAATTTTCAAATTTTTCAAATGTTGGAAATATTATATTTATTTTTAATTATATTTTGAGTTGACACAAGTTTTTTTGTTTTGTTTTTTTTAAATTTCTGATTCACGAGAGATGTATTATTGTTAGGATGGAATATTTTTGGACGCTGGTTTTGAAAACGTAAGTAAGCAAAAAAGGGACGTTGAAAAATCAAGGGAGGCAAACTCTATTTTTTTTCCCAAAAATCAAGAGTAATTGATAATAATATTACGAAACTAATTAAAACTAATGATATCAAGAACAAAGTATGACGTAATGAAATAAAAGAAAAATACTAATAATAATACATATCAATGGAAAGAAATTGATTTTAAATAAAATAAAAAAATACAATAATAAAGTAAAATGAAATAAGAGCATTATATAGGAACATGTAAATATGTGAATAAACACGTTAAAATGTTTACATGAATTGTAGTTGGTTTTAAAATTGAATTTCGGACCAGATCAACATTGAAAATAAGATTCGAAATGAGCCATATGAATTCTAATCTAGAGAGACGCTGGTTTAAGAACTAGAAGTGGTCTGTCTATATTTCTGAGATGAGGTATTATGTACAGTATTTACATTAGTCGGACTATTGTCCTCATCTTCGTCGCTATATTTGTCACAACGTTTCGGCCGTTGTACGCTCCGGCCTTCCTCAGGTGGTTGGAATTTCGAACTGAACCCTTTATTTCGATCACTGGGGTAGACTGTTCTAGTTCCACGTGCCATGTTTGATGGATGTCAGTTATCAGTTATCTCCTGCTAATTTTTCCCTCTGAAAGTTTTCCACTGCCTTAACCGGGTACTGAACTCACATTCTTTGGGTCTGTCACTCAAAGACACATGGCACAGTGGATAAAGGCTTTGGTTAGATCCAGTGATCTAAGCGGATCTTCAGGAAAAGCTGGCCAGTTTTCCCTGACGATCCGCTTAGGTGAAACCTGGGTAGGTTTGTCTGGCTCACTATATATATATATATATATATATATATATATATAATTATTATTATTTACGAATGAACTTTTATTTGTTTTCCAGGTTTCATTTTCATGTTTTTATTCAGTTATTAACCTAATTTTTCCCTCTTCTTTTCCTCCATTTTTTTTTTTTTTTTTTTTTTTACTTTTGATCCAATAAATGTAATATCTTGCTAATACTCAATCCAACGTATGCTTCGTCTGAAGACATTTTTCTCCTCTTCTTTTTACTCCGATTCTAAACGGTTTTGTCCGGTAACAACATGGTAAAAGCAGGAACTAATTTTTCAAATGCTTAGTCATACGATACGAAAGCAAAAAAAAAAAACAAAAAAAAACAAACAATCTTTGTTAGTCAGAGATGCAGAAAGAACTGCTATTTTCCACCTGTTATGAAAATGACTTTCGCTAAAGAAAGCTATCAAGAATTGAAGAGAAATTGCAAAAAAATGAAGCTAATAAATAAAGAAAAAACAATAACGCCATTTTTTGGCAGTGCATGCAAAAAGTGGTGTGTTTTGAAGAGTTTGTCGGCTTACGAATTCGGAATTAAATCCCATAACACAATAGAAACGGAAATAGGTAAAGAATGTTATTTTTATAACCCAGATATTAAGATTCTTCTTTCTTTATAAATGAAAACAGACCTAGTAAGAGGGGAATGCTGGCGATGGAAGACACCG